TCGAGCGAATCGTAACTACAGCTACAGCCACAGCGGACGGACTGGACTGGACTGGACTGGCATCAGCGGTGCAGACACATGTCCAATTTGCAATAAATAACAGCAGACGGTTTGCTGTGGTTTGCGGTTCTGATTCCAAGATTCCGAAAATTAAAAGCAAACATCCAAATACTACGAGATGTAAGCATTTCGATGAGTGCGTGGACGGCAAGGGGACTCTTAAGGGATATAAATTGGACTATAAAATCATTAAAACGCTTAATAATAGTTAGCTTAGCTGTACTTAAATATTTACGCATCCAAATGGTATAATTATGTAACAATAACGCAAGGCCAAGAAAGACAAAAAGAGCTAGAGCGAGAAGGGGGTATGATGAAGTTTGTTATAAAGATAAAATTGGGTTGGCGAGCGGTACAAAAGGGTGAACCAAAGTCCAGGATGAAAATCTTATCTATGTAGCTATATACACAGAAATCATTTAATGAAATAAATATCCATATTTGGATACTATAAGGAACGATCGCACATGGATCCGATGACTGTCTGATGACTGTATGCCAGACATTTTTATATGTGTTTCTTTAGATACGATTGAAATTAGTTAGCCGACAAAGATCATGAAAACTTTTGGCTATTTTCGCAACATGAATTTTCACAGTAAAAATAATAAATAAGAAGGGGTAATTATTCGATAAATGCGTGCTTGAGTCGGAAGTTCTTAATGAACTTATACTATAAGATAAATAAGTACGCGTATAAATACATTTAAGTACACACTCTCATATATGTACATAAATACATATGTATACGTATGTATATATGTACGTAATCGCAATCCCAATCTACTGTGGGTAAACACAGCTGCAAATATATTTCCTTTTGACCTCGAATTTAAATGGACCGCTCGTCGTCTGTGCCTCGGTGGCTCGGCGGTGGCTGTTCTCTATTGGGCTGCTCGCTGAATTGCGAAAAAAAAAATATAAAAAAATACAGAGCGGATTAAAGGTGCACATGAGCACAGCCGTAGGAAATATGCTGCAAACATCCGCCTGCTGCAACTGCATCTGAAAATACACACATACAGCACACCACACCATACCAGAGCAACAGCAACAGAGCCACAGCCAGAGCCACACACCGACGACAAAAAACCTCTGCTCTGACAGAGAACCGCCGCCCGTGCAAGGGACTAAAGCTACGACGACCGCGCGCTCATCTTCCCCGCGGCTATTGGCGTCGTGCAACATTGCAGGAGCCTTTTTCCACTGCTGCCTCGCTATGAGCCATGGCCCAGGCCATGTCGCTGATGATTCGTGTATCGGAGCCGGAGACGGAGTCGCCACCGCCTCAGCTACAGCGTTTGGCTGCCAACGGTCGGTCGTTCGGTCCGTCGGTTGGTCGGTCGGTCGGTCGGTCGGTCGGCTTCTCCCGAAATTTGAATCTGCCTGCATCTGAAGACTTAACGAATATGAACGAAAGGGCCCGAGGCAGTTACTACACTCCACTCCAGAGCATGGGTATGTACTCGTACATGTGGTCGAGTGAATGCGGAAAATTATGGCGAAGTAGTTTCAGATACAAACACTCAATCACATGGGGTTCCATTTGCATACGCCACTCGGCACTTCCCCTAATAAGAAAGCCCCGCCGTATGGCCAAATAGATCCTAATACCCAAAAACCCGAAAACTAGGAAGTACGAGTCCAACAGATATATCCCTTGGATTTCTTACTTGCACAAATACCCGTATATGGCATTGGTACTGCAGGAATCAGAATCTGACATTAATTTGTAGGCTTAAAGGTTGTAAAAGTAATATATTTATTTTCAAAGTTTTATTTTGGGCAAATAGGGGGTCCAAACTTTATGGCTATGCAGTTATTTGCATTTAGAATGCACTTGTCTCCTGCCGCAAAAGCGGACCGGAGGGACCCAGCAGCAGCAGCAGCAGATAAAGGAGATCTGCAGAGAGCCACAGATTGGCAATCACTACCATGAGAGAGGCAAGGCAGCCCAACAGTCAAGGCAGTAGTCATGCAAGTCCTGCGGCATTCACGAGTTTCTCCCGGGGCAATCGCATTTAAGACGCATCTTAAATGAGGTGCTCAGGCTCTCTGGAGAGTTGAAGACAGCAGCGAGGCAGGCACACTGGTGCAGGCGGGAAGGCAGTCAGCCAGGCAGGCATCCGAATCCGAATCCGATCCAGCCAACGACTGTTGCGAAGAAAGCTGCCATTTTTGAAATTACGGCCTGCAATATTCCACATACTCGCACAAGTGCTAAGTATGCGTGTATGCCAGCGATTACGAGCATCATCGGTGTAGGTGTGGTGGCAGTATTCGCAAAAAATACTCGTGTACTCGAATGCATTTACCATAAACATTGACCACTGTACTGTGCATCACGATTTATGGCGATGCTGCGGGGAGGAATGGGAATTAATTGGTAATGCGAGCACTGCATCAGTACCGACTGGTCGAATCGGAACTGAAAATGGCGACCTGATCATCGATCGATCGACCGATCGATCTCTTGTCGTGGCCACAATCAAAAATCGTGCCGATGCCATGAAATTGTCGAAGTGGTGTGGAGGAGGGTGGTTCTACAGTCGCAGTTGTATAATACTTACCTACTGGTACACCTCGTACACCTGATCGTCAGCTTCCATTTCGCAAGATTTACAGCTCTTAGCTTCGTGTGGTAAGCCAGTACCTAATACGAGGTAAATGTATGTATGTACATATGCATATGCATATGTATGCATAGACATGACTACACGATCAGGCTTTCATACTTTTATTTCCTTTGTTGCATTTAGTGAAAAATTCATCCAATGAAAACTTTAATGCCGCCGGAAATACAATTTCCCTTTTGACAGAAATATGTCCTGCTTTCACGGCAACTAAACTCACTTAATCCGTTTGAATTATTTAAAAGCTACTGTCATAATACAATTACATCAAACAAACCTTAAATGTCTGGGCTTAACAAAGATAACTGATTTAATTCGCTCTTCTTGCTAATCCTTTTCGCGTTTAGTCTAGGGGCTAATTGTGTCAACTGAACAAAGGCCGGAATAGAAAGTACGTAGTAACTATCTTTGAGGCTACTTGGTATACATTCAGGACATGATAAGATTTTCGAGTTCAGGTCCATCATACGATGGTTGATGGGTTGTGTCCCTCTGTTTGAAAGTTAATCAATACTATTAATCTATTAAAAATGATTCTAAAATTCAAAGAAATATCACGTTGGCAGTACGCGTACTTTAAAACCCTTTCCTTTCATTGTGAGCGGATTAATATTAGTGCTCTTCTAGCGTGTTTTAGTTTAAGTTTTTTTAAGGACAAGCTTACGCGGCTGACCAAATTTCTACTCTTTCGTAAGAACGTTCAAATAAACTAAAATTTCCTATGATGATAGATCTTTAGTTATTGTGGAGCTACATAAAATACTCGAAAAGAATAGTCTTGCTTATCGGTATTAAAATAATTTGTAATGTTTCTTTTAAAAATGAAAAAAGTGAGTTGGAATTAAATAAAGTATACGTAGACATAACTATTTGGAATTATTTGAATTATATGGCCATAGATAATAGTTTGTGGTTTGATTAGCTTTGACCACCTAGAGGCTACATTAGAACTAATTTTCTGTAACATATTTTAAAAATACATTTGATATGATTTCTTTTATTTTGTTTTGATGTTCCAGTGCATTGCATTACTACCTACCACTTTTGATTGCAATTACTTGTCAGCAACTGTACTTACTATGTGTATTTATAATATTTGAATATGAGCATAGTTTAAAAAATATATTCATATTAAAAGAAAATGTTATTGGTGTAAATATGTACATACACATAATGCAAACCATATCTTTGACATATGTATGCATGCCCTTATGTATTAAGGCCTTCACACTCTCGTATGTAAATATGTAAATATGTACATATGTGCTTAGTATGTACATGGAGAGAGAGGGAAAATGCTGGAGAGCATAAAGTACCCGAAGCGAAGGCAATGGGGCACGTACCACTGGCAATATTTCAGCGTCCGAGCGCGCAACATCAATGCCCAATGCCTGGGTTTTTCCCAGTAGCAAAAGTTACAACCCTAAGGGCACAGGGCACACAGCTCGCTCGTTGCCCGTTGCCGTTGCCGTTGCCGTTGCCAACCCCAGCTTTCCGCATTATTTTCCAACCCCTATATGCATCTGCACACACATATTCGTAGATACACGTATGTATGTATCTATCTACCATGTCCGTATCTGTATCTGCGTGAAGCTGAATGCCGCGCCAACCGTATCTGTATCTGTGTGTGCAGAAGCTGCAGTCGCAGCCTCTGGGTTCGGCCCATTGTCTAGTAGTCAGCTTACGGGGCGGGGCTTCCGAAATATAAATGGCTGTGGCTGCTCTCGCCTCACTATATGCTACATGCACTACCAGATACACGGCACACGGCACGGCACACAGCTCAAGTGGTATGGTATTGGTAGTACGTGCGGGCCAGCTATGCGCTCTTTACAGGTTTTCGCTCTCTCCCCTTGTGCTCTTTATTTCTGTTTCTGCTTCTGCTTCTGTAACGCGGTGCTCTCAGCATCTCAATCCGTGGCATGTGGCATGGATGGTTCTCTTTGGCGATGGATGCGAGAGAGAGAGAGAAAGAGAGAGAGTGTAGAACCTGCTCCACGACGCTCTCCTTGTGTGCTACCTACCACCCATACCACGGCACAGAGATTCATCAAGCCAGCGAACGGGCTTAGGCTTTGGGCGTTTTTCCTATGTGTTTGTAAATAAGCCCATACATGCATGTTTACGAGTATATAGATATACGTGTATGGGGATGGGGGAATGGCAACGGCAACAGCAACAGCAGCAACGGCAGCACCAGCAGCAGCGGCAGCATCAGGCAGCATCGCTTGTAGTACATCCCCCGAAGGTTTTTGGGTCCAACCTGAAAATTCAACTTCAGTCGAAATATTACCGTCTGTGGCTGTGCAAAGGTAGAATTTTGTTTGCGGGTTTTTTCCTTTTCCACTGAATATTGTGCAGTGTGCAGTGTACTCGACATTTGACCGATTCGATTCCGATCGCGGTGTAACTACCTTTACGGAAACCAAACCTTTGGATTGCCAACGATTTAACCCGACGCCACAGAAAAATCTGCACAGTCTACACAGTGTATCGATTGTACATACAAATGGATACGAGTACACGATAAGCAAATAGAAACTTTATAAATACGATACTCGCAAAGACTCGCAGTTGCCTTACCCAGTGCCAAAAATCAATTTTAAATAATTACTTAGTGATTGTACCTGTCAAAGTAACAGAAAAACAAAAACAAAACACACACAAAAAAACAAAAAACAAAACAAAAGGAGAACAAAAGGAGAACAAATCTACGCATATGCATTCTACAATATTTAAATAAAAGCACTCTACTACTGTTAAATTAAATTAAAATGCATATTTTACATCGCACGAACGACCATCAATTCGAGGATCAGAAGTTTATGATGGTAAGAAAAATACTGGGATACCTTTAAGTCTTGGTTTTCTGTTTGAATCAAAGTCGTTCACTATTGTTTGTATAAGTTATCAATCAATTAAAATACGAGTATGATGTAAGAAGGGGAAAATAGTTAATTTAAAGATCATCAGCTGGAGGATTCTGATCATTACCATGGTCCAGTACATAATAACAGTGCTCAGACACGAACGAACATATTTAATTTGTTGCGTCGATTTGATAAGCTAAGGTCTCGCTTAAGATAATTTCACCGTGGACTGCAAAAGTGCTCTATGGAAATTATCCGTCATCCGAAATCTGCAAATTAACGTTGAGTTAAGCAACGTAAAGGCCTACTCAAAATCAGATATTGAACCATCGAAGCCACGGGGCTGCGCCTGTTGATTGACACTCAAATTTCCCTGGGCACTTTCAGGCACGCAAGCACTTTGCCCAATTACCCGAAACACATACTCCACTGAGTGAACTCTGATTGCCATATTCACAGGCTGATTACCATTCTTGACTTGACCATTCTAGCAGCAAAGATAATGACCAATTTATAGTAGAGTCCACTTTAAATATTCGGCTCCAAGCCGAGGTCCTAGTTCCAGGTATCAATGTACAAACAACAAGATTCCCGCAAAGATTGAAAACATTGGACACCCTGCCGTGTACTACTGAGGCTTGGGAAAGCTTCATCATGTACCGAATAAATAGAGAAGTCCGAAATAAATAGGATATGGGAACTAAAAGTCAAAATTACTAAGTTTTTTACACGAGCACTTGAATCGAAAGGCACGCGCGAAAAGAATTACAGATTACATTATAATTGTTTTCCTTGTGGCAATTTCTGTAGATCGATAGATAGTAACAATATAATGAATTGCGCCCAATCGGAATATCATATTTAATACTATGTTTACTATATGTTTAGTAAACTTTATGTGAGTGAGAGGGATACTTCGCAAATCAAATGTGGTTCCCACAGTAAGCAAACGGCTTTCTTTAACATGGACAGACAGACGGGCATCCTATGAAATAGGTCGAGGTTTTAAATGTATACTTTAGGTATACTTTATACTTTATAGGTCGGTCGGAAAAAATACAAGGAAAGGAACCAACCCCTGCACTCTCAGAGTGCGATATTCCGGGTATAAAAACACTTTTTCCCACTCGGACTTAGCTGGCCCCCGAAACCACACCGACGGCTATGGGAGTGTGTAAATCTAAGAAAGAAAACAACAACAAAATAATACTGCTCCAGAACAGACGCCTCCGTGGCAAATGCTGGAAATGCGTGGGTACATGCTCCCCCATTTAATTAGCAAAATTATATGGTGCATCTGTCTTCCAAGAACTTTTTTGATGCCCGATAAAAAATAGGGCAATTGGCGGGGCAAGGGCCAGAGATCAAAACAAAACAAAACAAAAACCCAACGAAGAGGTTGAGCAAAAGTCATCGCCCACAAAAATCACCATGCTCGCCCTCAAATGGGTATGATGCCGAGTATGTTGGCATTAGCTTTGGTTAGCCATAGCCCCCGCATGCTGCTGCATGCTGCCTAAATCAGGTAAAGGTAAAATCTGGCTGGGACACTCGCGTGATGCGTTGCCAAAATAATTTATGAGATCGGACCGCAACACATCGTCAATTTGCGTGCGGTGCCCGACTGACTGAGAAATAATGCCATATAGCTCGGATATGCGTTCCAGAAATGTTCCCACCACGGTTTTTAAAATATCAATAAAAAAAGATATAGGCATTTTTTTTTTGTTTAATACACAGCACAGCGCATGATCTGTAGTTTATGTAAAAGACTGATCGAGCTCGCTCTGATTTATTGAATAATTTCTATATAATTTATAGTAATTATTCAGGTATTCAGTATGCACACAAATATGAAAAAAATAACACACCCGCTACTCAGATTCCTGAATATCTTTCAGCCAGGATTGAAACATTTTGACGTGAGTTCGTATAAGGTTCAAGCCCATTGCGAGAGTTCATACATTTCCCGATGATGGATTCGTTTCCAAGCGGGACTCGAATGAAAAAAGGAATAAACACGAAATCAGATAATCCGTTTTTGAGTTAAATTGGATGGCCACTAATTTTGATAAGCCATCAAAAAAATATAAAACGAAAATATATTTTAAATTCCACTCGTCTTGAAGTGCACACAAAGTTGGTGCCACAGCACACAAGGAAGAGGCTGGTATTGAGTTTACAAGTAATAAGATTTTGTTCCAAATTTTCTTACTCTAGCTCTAGTAGTCTTATAGATACAACAGGACAATTTCGACTCGTCTGCTTAGGAACGCTTAGGAACATACAAGTTTACCGCATTTTATATAAACCAAGTACTATTCCGCTTCCCTATCGGGTTGTGTCTTTTGTATGCACTCAACTTATTCGCCAGTCGGTTTTTTAATGGTTCACATTAAGCGGAAAAGTGCAAACAATTTTAACCAAAACATATAGTTTATTGTGATCTACAGGGTGAAGGTGCAATACACAGATACAGATGCATCTGTATGTGTAAATTCGTTAACTCCTTTTATATTTCACTGATAAAGGAGATGTGTAGAATCTTATAAATCCACTCTAAAACATTTCCGTTCATACGCATCAAAATTGATTTCATTTGCAAAGAGGAAATTAAAAAGTCCAACAAAACTAAATTGATTGGCAAGATATATGTAAATGTTCATAACGTGGCCACGATCTCCAACCCAACCCAACCAAACCAACGAAATCAAGTGTCGGGAACGTCGACAACGTGAGCTGAACGGCGTGTGTTAGGCTCGTGGCAAAGGAAGGAAGCAAGCCAACATTGCTGTTGCGATGGGTTGGGTTGGCTGGGTTCCTTCGCAATATTGGCCGTGGCATAAGGTACCGACATGAAGTAAAAGGAAGGAAGAGTCCAGCCAGGGCTGAACGGCAACCCAACAAATGGGCTGCAGTTGGATGGGGCTTCTTGCGCTTGCTGCTGACGTTCAAGCCGGTCTTTGGGACTCAGACTGCAAACGGTCTAAACGGAGCAAAGGCCTACCTGTAGGTTTGGCTTGCTTGCTGGCTGGTTGGCTGGCTAGTGTGTTGATTCTTATGAGGCTCATTCTTCTATTCGTCATTTGTACGCTAGAAGAGCGATCCGACCCAGTCGCTGGTTCTGGGACTCGATTTTGCTCCTCCAAGCTTCGCAAATACCCAGCAGGTTTAATACATTTATGAATGAGTTTTACTACTTCATTAAGGCCAGTGGCCTGCTTCGTCATGGCTTTGTGGTCGAGTAACACTGCGCTGGCTGTCCGTTGCAGGCGCGTTGTTGGAGCGCGTGCTTAGCCAAGGATCAGAGAGGATCCGAGTGGAATGGAATACCTGGATCGCAATAAGCAAAAATCGATTATCGTTCGTTGCACATTTCCATTGTTGTGAATATTATATTTAGTGTTTTGAAGCTTCCTCTTAAATTCGTTTAATTTATAGCCGAAAAAACGCACTTGGCCCTTCCGACAGATCCAACTTGCAGTTCCAACAACCGGCAGCACCGGACATCGAGCCGCATACATACATGTAATATAAATGGAAATGAATATATTTTAAGAGTTTCGCGGACTTTAATCTAAAGTGGCTCCAAGTTGTGCGTAAATGTTTACAGTTCCTTTCACACAGAGGAGAGCTGGCCATAAATTGATTCTTGTTATGATTAACGATATAAATATTATCACAATATTAGCATTTCTTGTTCTAACTTGGCCAGCATATCCTTCTGTCTCCATAAGTGACGCATACGTTCTCCTGGCAGCCAAAGGACAAGCCCCCCACAATCCCACCGCCATTTAACTTGACAGCGTAATTAAAAAGTCGTGACCATGCGTTGAAGCCAAGGAGCCTCGCTAAATATTAGGGCATACTCGTTTTATATGTCTTATTATAATTGGCGGTGTACAGGTCTGGTCTGGCACAGGCACATGCACAGGCACAGACACAGGTAGCGCGAAAAGAATGCGAAAAACGCGCGCACCTTAGTAGTATTTTTTCGTACCGTACGAGTATCGTATCATATCTTCGCTGAGGAGGAATGATGATTTGATGCCGTAATTTCAGTAATAGCAGCAGTTGGGATCGACGTCAATTCCTGGCTCCTGCTACTGTATAAGTATTCGGAATCATTACGTCATCGGCAAAGAATTCGAACGTGCCTGCTCCCGTTCTTATGGTAGCCACGTGCTAATTAAATTATTATTTGAAGCCGCTACAAAGTTAAGGGATTCATTATTTCTTTTTTTTTTTTGCGCATTTTCAAGGGTCATCATAATTTTGACTTAGAGCTTGGCTTGCCATGCAGAGAAGGCAGCATTTCGGAAACTATTAACTATAAACGAGCTTAGTGTAAAGGTTTTGTGACAATATTAAATGTCTGCGTGAATTAAGAAAAGAAACTTCGGTGTCAAACAAATTACAACAAATTACAAATAACTTGGTAAATTTAAGATCAAATACATGTGTTTCCCAACTTCGCTTAACTTTACTTGGGTACAGTTCAGCAGAGAATAGAATGTTCTGTTGTTTCGTTGCCTGCTGATGAGAGACTGATAACGAAAGTTTAAGACTGATTGAGATTGACATAGATTAATTGATTCACAGTCTATATTTTAAAAGCCTCTACTTATACTCAGTCCGTACCCGTACTCAGTCAGTATATACAGCTTATGATTTTTTAGAATTTTAGAAAAAAAAAAAATAAAATTTTACATTTTACATTTTTTGGCTACATCTGATATCTACATCTACATATACAATGTCTATTCTACATCTAACATGTAGATTGTACATGTTCCATTTAGATTCTACATCTCCTCCGCTAGGGGTTGCTCGCGCACTGAACGCTGCAGAGTGTGCGAGCGAGAAGGAAAATGAGTTGCGTTGTCGTTTGCGGGAGGGGGGGCAGAGGAAGGAACTGAAAATTAATTTCGTCATTCTGGCTATAATTATAATTATGATCC